CTCCTTTGTGGGGGGTATTTGGGATGGGTATTACAGAAATCACACAAGCAGCAAGACGTTGGGCATGTTTCAACCTCAGACACTCTGGGAGAAGGTGAGCAAGAAGCTAGAGAATGGGGAGATCATGACCACCTTGTTCAAACAACCCTGCAAGGGCAGATTTTCGGGGCATTCGACCTCAGAGAGGGGTCCGTTCGGCCTCACACCCGCAGTTTGCGGCTTGCTGGCGGACAGTAGCTATGCTGTTCTGGGAACAGGGCAAGTGGAAGGTCACAAGTTGATACGTCTGCGAAATCCCTGGCCTTCCAGGGAATGGACGGGACCTTGGTGCGATGGCTCCAGGCAGTGGACCGAGGAGGCGAAAGCGCAGCTGAATGCCGAAGCAGAGAAGCAGGACGGTGCGTTTTGGATGGAGAACGTTGATTATGTTGACCTGGCAGTGAGGCTGCGCATGAATCGACCCTTTGGGCCTACCTGGCAGTGTGCTGTTCAGTATGGAACCTTTGGCCATCCGTCGCCAAACATTTGCATGGCCGTTCGGGATGTGCGCGGCGGCAAGTATGAGATCAGCTTCAAGCGTGGGGACAAGATCGAACTTCCGGAGCATGACCACAACATGGGTGACTACCGTCATGGCAAGCATCTGGCCTCTGGAGAGGAGGGCTACTTCAGGACTATCCATGTGGACTATGGAATCCATGACACTTACAAGTATGAGCTCACACTCTCGAATGTGTTGCATGATTCACAAGTGATAGTCGCCTTGATGCAGCAGAATGTGAAGAAGATGCGAATGCATCGGTGGTTGCCCAATAACGAGCCTGGCCAAAACAGCTATGTCATAGAGTATCCGTGCTTCACCGTGAAGATTCAAGACAGTCGTGGACAGGAACAACTCTTTTATGGGAAAGGGCGGGCCGGACACGCGATCTTGAACCCATCCAATGGCCCATTCAAAGTCTATGTTTGCTGCAACTCAACAGATTTCCGCCGATTTGCGATCTATGCCTTTGCCCCTCAGGGTGAGTTGCAATGGAAACAGCTCGAATGTGACCGTGATCAATGGATAGCAGAGGTTGGCGCCAGTAACAATGTCAACCTCATGCGTGACCGAGTCTACAACAACTCCGCCCTTGCGCTAGGCTCCTACATTACTCTTGGTGAAGCCCTCCTGCACGCACACCCAATGGTGGGTGGGGCCATTTTGGCAACAGCTGGGACCATCAAGGACATTATCACCACGAATCCTGTCGATGCAGCTGGCCGGGTGATGTCAGTGGCTGCGGATGTCGCTACCAGTGATGAAGCTGCAGAGCTGGCAGGTCACGTTGGGAGCATGGTGCAGTATGCTGCTGCCTTGGGGTGCAGGGTGGGGTACCACATGATGTTTGGATGATAGGAGTGGATGCAGAGTGAAACGCTTAAGCTTTTGCGCCCGGAGTCTGCTGGAGCCCTCAAGGGGCGTTGCGCAGACGCGGTGTGCACGCCGCTATGCGAAGATCGCATGGCTTGGAAGGGCGGCAAGATGTTGGCATTTGATGGCTTTCTCAAGAAAACCTCGTCTAAAGAGTGGCGTAACCTGGTAGGTGGAAGCTGTTTTCAGGGGTGTACATAGCAGCAATGTCAAGTCTTCGAGGACCTCTAGGTAAATTTCCGAATTTCGTTGCAATCTCAAGTTTGGGAGGATGTCTAGTGCACTTCTAGTTGTAAGCAGACGCAGAGTTGTGGCAGCAGAGCGCGAGACAGGATATCTGCGCTTGGGCCGCGCATGCAGTGGCCGTTTCTTTTTGGCAGCAGTTTGGCTCTTGGGAGCTTTGTTCTGAAGCATGATCCTTTTGGCAATTTTTCATGCGTCGCCCTCGTTGTTGTGACGCTGGGCAGCCCTTGGCACTGTCTGCATCTTAAGCAGGTTCCATTCAGCTAACATTTGGAGCACGATTTGGTAGCTCAACCATTGATGTGCCGTGCTTTGGTTCACCCAAGCTCCAACTGCAGTTTGTTTTGGCTCCAGCAAGCCGCTGTAACCATGCCTCGCCTGGCAGTGTCTTCCATGGCGGCCGTGGCTGCGCTTGCAGCCGGGGCGGCCTTCGTTGCAGCGCCTGCAAGAGCGCCCGTGGTGCCCAACAAGCGAGGGCCCAAAGTGTTTGCAAGAGTTGCACAGGGCTAGATGGGCTTGGACTCCCTCATGGCTACAGGCCGGCCACGTTGGGAATGCCAGGATCTGCAGCAGAACCTGCTGGATGGGGCCTGGCGGCAGCAGGCAAGCGCTTGCCTCAAAACTGGGATTTTCCGGCCAATGCCAACTTGACTGGAGGCTTGGCGCTTGGTGCACATGTGGGCTTGGCAGCCGCCTGGAGGGCTCGAGCTTCCACAGCAGCCAGAGCAGAAAGTGAGGGCGTTTGTGCCTCAGTGAATGCCAGTGATGCGATCGAGCTTGCCATCACGAAATCTGTAGGTTTGAGACCGCGTCTTTGTCTGGTTCAGGGAAAGAAGTACGTGGAGACCGTATCGGATGAGAGGCTGTTCGAGCAGGTGTGCCGGGTGCAGCGACGCAAGGATTTCCAGCTGGGTCGACAAGTGCATGCTTGCGTTAGCATCACTTGTGAGAGGTCTACCTGCAGTACACGTCGGAGTACCTCAAAGGACCCCTCTACTGGCACCCCGACAAGCTGTTGCTTGGCCGCAGTTGGCCGAAGTCTGGCAGGGCTGCAAGAACCGTATCCTTCCGGGCAGGGCTGGCTGCCGGACTACCCGGGCACGCCAATGATCAAGGAGGGCAAGTACACTTCCCACGTCATTGGAAACCTGAAGGCGTGGCACTTTGTCTGGTTGCAAAATTGCAGCAGCTGATCGAGCGCACACAGAAGAGACCTCAGGCCTTCAGCTCAAACGAGCTCGCGTTCTTGTCCATGCTTTTCTTCGGAATTGGCTTGTATGGCAATCTCCAGTGGCCTGGTTGATGGAGGTTCATGTTTATTCCAGAGAAGAGGTTGAATGTGTTCGGGGTTCCTGGTTGACAGAGAGACAGCTTGCAAAAAGCTTTGTCAATTCATGGGCTGCTCAAATCGTCAAAATACAGCACAAGTAAGTTCTTGTCATGCAGATCGTCCGTTGTGACATCACTGGTGTCACTGCGCAAAGCAGATCCAGCAGGAATGATCAGACAAAGGCTTGACGTTTCAGGATGTCAATAGGTGGAGCAGCAGGTACGGAAGTGCTGTTAGGGGTGGACCTGTCACTGCCATACTGCCATACCTTGATGTACCTGGCCCGGTTGGGTTCTGCCCAAGACGACTTCTTAGAAGATGTTCTGTTTCTGCATTCGGGGGCTGGTTTTCTGAGCTGGTGAAGGGCAGTTGCCGAAACGAGTCAGGGGCGCGCAATCTTGGCTTCTGCACTGCGAATTTCGCATGACCACACACCAGCATGTGCCGGTTCACTGGCTTCTTTCCGGATTTGCGGATGTAGTTGTTGCTGTTCACACTTTGTTTGCTGCAAATGGCTTGACTGCTGTGCGCCTAGTCCGGCACGGTATGCTTCTCGTTGCCTTTGTACTGTGGCGTGTTCTTCGTACTCGTGTAGGACTTTGCGAGTGAAGTCAGTGACCGATTCGAGGCACAGGCCACATGATTAGCAGCAAGGACCGACAAGGGTGCATGAGCGTGCTCTTTAACGCTGAGGTTCAACTTCTACGACCCCCAGTGGGCGAAGGTTGACGCAGGTGGCTTCTTCAACGTCTCTTACATCGTGGAGTCCTTCTTGCTCCCCATCTCTTTCTTTATGCACATTGCCTGCTACATCCAGAGACAGAACGGGAAGTGAGTCGAGCTCCGTCGGATGGAGCTTCTTTTTGAGTCCTCAAGCCGATTGCTGCGCAGTGTGACGCAGGTAAAACATTTGATTTGAGATTTCTCTCCATTCTTTGCATCACATTGAAAATGGAAGCGTTTCTTCGACCATGCCGATTTGCTGCTCAGGTCTGATGACTACACCAGAGCGTGCTATGCGGATTGTGCGAGAGCTCCGAGGGCAGGCGGACGCAGTTGCTTACCTGGACGAGCTCAGAGCTTCCCTGGCTTTGCAGGCTGGGGCCTCGCGCGATGTTGGGGCAAAGTCTCAGAAGGCAGGACTCGTGCTTCGACATTTGCAACCTGGGGACTGTGACCTGCTCGTCTAGGGCCAACCTGGCAGGCTTCCATGGAGACCTGTCATACTCGCCACGAGGCATGCGCAGCAGGGCCGGAGCTCGCAGCTGCCTTGGGAATTCGTGGAGCTACGCATCAGTGCACATGCGTTGCAGACTTTGCAGCAAACGGAGAGGATTCTTGCGGTAAGTAGCCCGGAGAGAACATGTGCACTTCAACGACTGTGTTGAGACTGCTTGGTGAATGCAACAGCGTCGTTTTGACATCACGAAGTGCAGCCAGACTCCGCTTCGCTTGAAGAATTTATGAAAGCTTCAGGTTCTCGGTCAGAATGTTGGACAAAGCTCGCAGGTCTGGTGGTCAGGTGTGGGAAACGGCTGGTTGCCTTAATCGTGGTAGAGCTCCTGCCCTTTTGTGCAGGTCGCAGCATCCGTTTATGGCAATGTTCTAACATCCCTTCAGCGTGCACGGCGCTGGAAAGAGGCAACGGCAAAGCTTCTTGCAAGTTTGGTACCGAGATGCGAGTTCAGGTGATTTCCATTTTGCATGAGATGCACTGCTCGGCTGTCGTGCCCAACCTGGTGGCTTAGTATTGGCCTGAGGGATGCACTTCAGCCCTGCGTGGCAGAAAGTACCGGTCCTGACTCCCGGGGCTGAGGCTTGCCAAGTAGAGACGAACTGGGCTGAGACCTCACAGGCAAACGAAAAACAATGCTGGTGAGAAGTCGGCTGCAGGCGATGGTGTCATGGATTCTGCTGGAAATGAGACGCAACATTTGTCAGCTACAAGCTTAGCATCCGAAACCTGAACCTGGTTGCTGTTCCTGCTTTTGTACGCATGGTTTCTATGAGGCCCGATGCACACACCTGCAGCAAAGCAATCATTGCCTGCGGCCGGGTACACATCCATTGTCAGTCCGGTTTTCAAAGTCATGCTTGCCTTCGAGATAAGGGCGGCACTGGCAGCAAGCTCTGGTAGTTAGCAGAGATTTGCAGCGGACCAGGGTCTTGTGGGGTATGCCCACCACCTAGCTAAAGAATTCGGGGGGGGGGGGGGTACCACCCCAGACCGATATTGTTTATATTTGTTTATTAATAGAACGGGGCAAACCTAATTGGGCCTAAGGGGGGGTACCACCCCAGACCGATATTGTTTATATTTGTTTATTAATAGAACGAGGCAAACCTAATTGGGCCTAAGGGGGGGTACCACCACAGACCGATATTGTTTATATTTGTTTATTAATAGAACGGGGCAAGCCTAATTGGGCCTAATTCTGGGAACTCACCCGACGTCCCTGCATCTCCTGCTCAAGTAGTTCCGGAAATGCCATGTGGTGGTTGATCAATTTTCCTGGTCCATTATGGAAAATATTGGAAAATAATTTCCCCTACATTTGTCCTTTTAGAACTAGGGGGAATTAGGGGGACCTTAAAATAATTTCATCTAATTTCCCAAGACAACCTTTAGATCATATCAATGCCCATGTCCACGTTGGCCAGCTGCAACTTTCCTCGGCTGGCAAGTGCCTGGGCTTTCAATAATAAGTAAATATTACTAACATCGGTTTGCACTTTTGGGGTACAGGAGGTTTAAAACGGCTTTGGGGCTCAGGGTGTCGTCAGTGAAGAGGTTCACTCTTCGTTGAAAGTGATAAAGAGATTCAGGCCTGGATTTAAGGTTCTGCGGGTATACGGCCAGATTCGGCCAGTGATGGCCAGTGAAACACAGAAGAGACAAAGTGCACCCCTAAACTTCAGTCGATCACTGGAGGCAAAGCGATCCCCTTGTTCCAAAGATGAGAAACCCTCAAGCAGAACCTCGCAGAGCCAAAACCCTGATTTCCCGGGCATTAGGAGCACGATGTGGTAGATGCGCATGCCAGTGTGCCTGTTCCCGGCTGGTGTAGGAAGTTATTGAAAAAGCTGTTGGCATTTCGATGACTTTGAGCTTTGGCTGGCGTGTCTATGGAGACG